ATGGCTGACTGAACCCAGAGGCTCCATCCTCCTTTGCTTCCTTAACTGGCTGTTGTATTTCCTTTTTGTCTCTGGAACTGGGTTTAGGGTCAGGTCTGGAGTAAAACTCAGTGTTAAGGTTACCTATAGAAAAGGGAGCAAATCTAGACAGAACAAACTTGTCAGTTACAAATAGAAGGGCTTTGGAGGTGTTACTTATGGGTGTACTGAAGGAGAGGGTGGAGAAAAGCAGCCTTGATAAAATTCTCTGTATACCCTAGGCAGTTTTTTCTACCCAGGGGTCAGATGACACAATCCAAGAGGTGAGGAGCTCACCCCAAGGGCTGGTTCGCTCGGCCAGGGACAGAACCAACCACCTGCCCCGAGGGCCAGATAGAAAACCCTGTGGGCTGGGCGACACACCCCAAGGGCTGGCTGGCACACTCCCCCACCAAAGTTCCCCCCTAAGTCCGGACCCCGTGCCTCACTGAAGACCATGTGGCCAGGGACAGCATCTCCAATTGCAGTACCACCACCATTATTCCCCACCCCCCCATAAGTGGTCATACTGTAATGTGAAGTAGGTGTCACTGCCCTTCCCCTTTACGAATGGAGAAGGGGACCTGAGAGTGGTGAACAGACCCCCCCCCCAGGTCTAAACAGTTTTTGGCAAAGGCAGAGAGCAGATCAAAAGGTGTGGGGCATGGAGGATATCTGCCATCTTGGACATGCTGCCACAGTTAAATGTTGTCCTCTTGGAAACAGCTCACAGAGATTCTCATCAATCCATTGAATTGGCAATCTTCCTCTCTGGCCTGACCAGGGAAACCCCATCCTACTGCCCTGTCTCTAGCTGCTGTCTTCTTGGCTCCAAGAATTTTCTCCAAACCAGTCCACTCTGCTGCAGTGTGGTGGCTCTGCTGCACCATCCTGGGGATGGGGGTGGGGGTGCAGTGCCTACTGTCCATCCCAGGTGAGGGGATCCCTGGGGTCCGGTGGTGGGAGCCTCATCGAGCTGCAGCAATAGTGCGGGCTCAGCAGCAGGGGGCTGGGAGCCTAAGGACTCACCCATTCCTCCCTGGGAATCCTTGATCTCCTGATGTTGAGCCTCGATTCGCACTGAAGACCAGTCATCAACTGTTTAACTGTTCAATTATCAATAAACAGAGGTCTGTAGAAGGCCAGGGTGGCCCTCCTTCATTTGGTCCTCTGCTCCCACAGCTTGCCAAGTTGTTTCTGCCACTGCCACCATCTTGGAATCCATTTCCATTCTTCAATGAGATGGAAAAGGCAACCTCCAATTTCATTTGGAATGGAAAGAGGCCCCGAATAAACAAAGCACTCCTTAAAAAGATAAACAAGGCTTGGAAGAATCAAATCCCTATGTTATGTTGTTGTTGTTATGTGCCGTCGAGTCGTTTGCGACTCATAGCGACCCTATACACATCCAAAAACTCCAACAGGGTAAAAAGGGAAGACACAGACTGGAAAAAAGTGTTTGGTAATGACATGTCAGATAAGGG